GGCTCCCTGCTCCTTGGGAGCCTGCTTCTCCCTCTGCCTCTCTCTCTTTCTCTCTGTCTCTCATGAATAAATAAATAAAAAGTTTAAAAAAAATAAATAAAAATAAATAAATTTTAAATGTTATTTTAAATAAATTTTTAAAAAGTTAATACTTTTGCATGAAAGTATACATGCAAAAAATGAAGCAGCTATGTTTTTGAAAGTATTTTTATGTGACACATTATTTACAGTGTATTATTTAATACACATTTGAATGTTGTATATTTTATTACTGGTGTGTGACTTCTGTAGTTAACATCTAACATTGCGATGGTATACATAGTTGAACTTACACTTAATCTAATATCTGTAAGATTCAGGTAAATATTTTAGAAATCGAAATTAGGGGCACCTAGGTGGTTCAGTCGATTAAATATCCAACTGTTTCTTAACTTCTGCTCAGGTCATGATCTTGGGGTCATGGGGTCATGGGATTGAGCGCCACATCAGGCTCTGCACTCAGCAAGGACTCTGCTCCAGATTCTTTTTCCTTCTCCCTCTGCCCTTTCCCCAACTTGTACGCATGTACACAATCACTCTTTCTCTCTCTCTCAAAAGAAATAAGTCTTTTTAAAAAATTGAAATTAGTTATAAAATTTTTATAGGCAATAAACTATATCTATTTTATGGTAGTGATATTAGTTTAATATTAATTCTTCACGATCTTTCAGCAAGTATATTTAATATTTTTTGAAGTACCTAATTTTTGAAAGTGGTATGGGTAGATTTTTTATTAAATTTTTCCCCTTAGGTTTCACCAGTTATCATAAACACTGTGATTACCATAACATCAGCACTTTATACATCCAAGGATACCATCCCACAAGAAACTACTTCTTCTACAGTACATTTATGGGAAAAGAAGGATACAAAGAATTTAAAAATGTGGTTTCTTGAAGAACCAAATGAAGTTGAAAACAAAGCTCCCACAACTGAATTGATACTCAAAGGAGAGATGATAAGAGTGAACATTGATTCTATTTTTATAGTTCTTGAGGCTGGAATTGGTCATAGAACAGTGCCTATGCTGTTGGCAAAGTCACGTTTTTCAGGGGAGGGCAAAAACTGGAGTTCCTTGATAAATCTCTACTGTCAGCTTGACCTAGAAGTAAGTATATGCAGTATTTTTCCAGATTTTATAACAAATAATGCTACACATGGAGTATTTCTGGTATCTCAAATATTTTAACTAAGTTTATTGTAAATATGAATGTTGACTCACAATACTTTTGGAAGCAAATATACAAATTTATGCCCTAATATAGTTGTTTTTATGTGTACATTTTCATAATATAAACTTGGGTATTTCAATTGATTTTATCAACTTAAAGGTGATGTATCAATAAACAGTGTTGATTAGATTCAATATTCTTATTTTTAAGAATTGAATATCTTTTTTCCTTTAAAAGGATAATAGACTATTTATGATCTCCTCTAAAAGAGTAGTAGAAAGAATTAGAAGGCTATGCCTCATACTTTTATACAGTGCATTATCTTTAGGGAGTATCTATAAAGATCTTTCACATTTTTGTGAGAGTACTTTATAAGGGAGATACTTGTTTTGAACCAACATACATTTTGCTTCAGAATTTATCTACATAGAATTATCTCTAAAGATATTTTGTTTTAAGTTATGAGTTTATGTCTAGTGAAAACTAATTGGATATTCTAATTTGTATTAATAAATATGAAAATTTATGAGCTGATAAATTATTTGTGTTGATACAAAAATATACACTAATAGTGTATAATCTCTTGATGATGAATTATAATTCAATAAGTGCTTAGGTAGAACTAACTAGATTTCAAATTTTGAAATTCTGGCTACATTCTGTATATTTTGTGGAGGGTATGATCTAGGATGTCCAAGAGATTCTGAGAGTTCAAATAAATAAGCACTTACTGAATTATAATTCATCATCAAGAGATTTCAAAATATCAGTGGAGGTAGGCAGATCTGTTTAAAAATGTCAATAATACATGATAAATGGATGTAGTTTTTGATATTTAGTCCAGTCTGGAAGTCAAGGAAAGATGCTTAAAAGAGAGTTTTGTTTGGATTAAATTGTGAAGACTAGACTATGAAGTTAGCCAGGTGACGAAAGTGCTGAGGGAGTGTGTATAAGAAACTAAGGAAAGGCACAGAGAACAGTTTCCATATAAAGAATAGCAGAGCCAAAGGGAATAGTGGTGGGAAACAGCATGGAAGGTCATTTTAGAAAGTATAAGAATGTCTTATTTCAAAATTTAATTCTCTCTCTAGGTGCATTATTACAATGAAATGTTTGGTGTATGGGAGCCTTTGCTTGAACCCTTAGAAATTGATCAGACTGAGGATTTTAGACCATGGAATCTTGGAATCAAGGTATATTTGAAGTCTGAAAATTGTTTTTCAAAAACAATGTCCATACCACACAAAACAGATTAATTTTAATAACAGCAAAGTTCAAGTTTTCTCATTATGAGAGTCTTGCCACATACTTCCCTGTTTGGCCTGTGAATGTAATTTTCAGAACCAGGACTAGTGCCTCCTTTGCTAATACAAGTAATTGTGTAACATTTATTGTGTTGTAGACACTGTTTTAAATAATGTATTTTTACTTGAACCCTTACAGCACCCCTTTGAAGTTGGAGTTTTTAACTCCATTTTAACATGTGAAGGAACTGAGACTAGAGAGCTTTAGAGCCTTCCCTAAAGTAACAGTTTCAAAGTGAAGGAGGTTGCATGCAGTTCTGGCTGCGGAGTCCCTGCTCAGAACCTCCGTGTTAGATGCCTCTAACATCTTCCTATAGGTTCTTGTCTACCCTGAGTTTCCTTTGTCCTCAGAAGGATGTATATATAGAAGAAAGTATACTATTACTTGTTTCTCAGATATATTGTAAACTTATGTAATCCTAAGAATCAGGACCTTTAGATGGATGAAATTGTGCTTCAGAGCAGGAAACTGAAGAATTGCTAACATGTCTCCTCTCTAAATAATGATTCAGTCACCTGCAGACAAATTTTCAGTGGTTGAAAGCCAGTTAATATAACAACAAAGGTTACTAGCTTGTCCAGTCTTTTGTATTAGATTACTTCATTTATTTTGTACATATTTCAGGTAAAGGATTGGATAAAAGAACTTCTTTGGTGTTTTTTAGGTCACAGTATACCTGGGCAGTGGATCTGTGAATCCTAAATAGTGGTAGATGGTATTGAGTCTCAGGAGTCGTAGGTTCTAATGGCACTGTTCTGCAACTGTTTTTGGACTTTTTAAGTCCCTGGATTTCTAGTCTTTATTTACCCATAGCCAGTAAACCTAAGTAATAAACCAAATGATTTTTCTTCTTCTGAATGTCCATGAGCTTTTAATTTTCATTCAGATGCCACAAGCATTTAGTGATTTTAGGGTTTATTTTTCCTTTTGAATTGTGCTTGCCATTTTAGTATCACTGAGGATGGAAATTATTTTTCCTCTGATACTGCCCCTGTGTGACTTTAGTTGGCAGATATCCAAGCAATTTCAGTAAGGCAGTGGAACTGATAAAACTTATTGTTGTCTCTCATGTTATTATTGGGATTTGTCTAGTTTGTTTTTCTTTGCAAAATGAGTAATGTGTTCCTAGGAACAAATTTTCCTTATATTTCTATAATTTATGTGTCGTTTTAGATGAAAAAGAAAGCAAAAAAGGCCATTGTTGAGTCAGATACTGAAGAAGAAAATTACAAAGTGCCAGAATATAAAACTGTTATCAGTTTCCATTCAAAAGACCAACTAAACATTACATTATCCAAATGTGGCCTTGTAATGTTAAATAATTTAGTCAAGGTAAGAAAAGAAATTTGAAACCTTAAGTGTTGGTATACTAGTCTGAACTAACCTTTTTTTTTCATTGAATAAAAAGTTTTTTTATTAACTTATTTGTCATACATCTGTTAGTGTTCTGCTTGTCATTTAGTTTTCATTTTATTTACAATAACTCTTCCTTATTAGGCATTTACAGAAGCTGCCACTGGAGCTTCAACTGTCTTCATACGGGATCTAGCGCCATTTATGATTTTAAATTCTCTTGGACTTACTGTCTCTGTTTCACCAAGTGATTCTTTTAGTGTACTTAACGTCCCATTGGCAAAATCGTATGTATTGAAAAATGAGGAGAGTTTAAGTATGGACTATGTGGGAACGAAAGACAATGATCATTTCAGTGCAATGACCAGCCTAAGCAGTAAACTCTTCTTCATTCTTCTCAGTAAGTGTTAAATTATTTTCCTGGGGCTTTAATTGCTTTTAAGTTACATTTTTTACATCGCATTTTACTCATATGTAGTATCTTACAGGTTTTTAAATCTCCTTCCAAATAGGTCAGGAATTTTGCTTTTTCTTTTGCCAGGCTTTGGTTGCTTGTTGTCACTGTATTTTTGTATCCCAAATTGTGACTTTATTCGCTGTGTTATCTAGGGCATGGTAATTCACCATATTTTTGGGAGGAAAAAGATTTGATCCTGTCCTTACTCAGCTTTTTGTTGTTTCAACCACATTTTGTATAATTCAGTAATATTCCACTAGTTTTACAGCTGAATGAATCCAAAATAAAGTTTGAAGTCATGAAAATGGCACACTATAATGGTTTTTGGGTTTGTAAATGGTTTTTATTTTCTGCCTGTTGAGGTGGAAGGTTGTTCTTTTGTCCTTGGTGGTTCTCAGAAGTGTTTCGTTTTCATGAGAAATGAAAGTAAAAAATTATTAATTGTCATAATATTTATTCATTGTGAAGTTACCTAGTCCCATAGCCTCACCCACACCCCTTTCTGATACTCTGACATTTAAATAATTAGGGAGAAGGGAGGGAATTTGAAAGATTAATAGAAAAAGGGGAGGGATACTAAGACTGATACCTAGTGCTTTCTCCTGGTCAGGAAATGTTGCTTAACAATGGCCTTGTCAGTGAATTGCTCTCGTCAATTTTACCTCACTTGTTTGAACTAACATTTTTAGGGAGTTGAGGAGGTATATGTAAATAAGTAATTCACATCCCAAATAAAATGCAGTATGTATATTAAATAAATGTATAAAATTTTGTTTAATCAGGTCTTAGATACCATAAAGTATCACGGGTTGTTAGAATAATGAAAAACTGAAATTTTGCAGCTACTTTGGTAATTGCCAGTGACTGCCTACAGGTATTAGGCTCTGGTTATTATGACAGCAAACCAAAGATAAGTGTTCGTATATTTTATAATAATTTCTCTTGTCAGTTTGAAAACATTTATATTATTCACTTAGGTTAAACTACTGAATGAAAAATTTTTTTCAATTAAAAAATTTTTTTGTTAAGTGCTTTGAAGGTTTTCGATGACTGCTGTGGGAATGTATTGTGGCTTCTTAATATATCCCTTTAAATAGATTATATAAAGAAATAGCCCTTTTTTTATAGTCTTATATCTAAAAACTTTAGTGACTGTTATTTACTAGTTAAATTAATTATCTGATACATCTGGCATTTAACATCTAGTTAAGATTGATACATGATTAATAATAAAAACTTTCCAACATATATATTCCATTTAGCACCTGCTAGCCACTCTACTGCTGATAAAATCCCTTTAACAAAAGTGGGACGACGACTGTACACTGTAAGACACAGAGCATCTGGGGTTGAAAGATCGATTGTTTGTCAAGTTGATGGAGTGGAAGGAAGTAAGAAGATAACAATTCGCTCCCCAGTGCAGGTACAAAATGATCCTTTTTTTTTCTTTGTGGGGTCATATTACTCATATTTGTGTGTTAATAAAAAAAGAAAGCTAATTACTACCAAAAGAATATAAACTTATAGAAATACAATTAATATAAAAAAGAATTATTACCAGTAATGTACTACTTTAGTATGAACAGTGGTTCAATATTTCTTGTAACTTTCTATAGGACTCTTCCTATAAGCTCTTTTTGGACTATTATTTTAAAACACCATCAATATTTTGTTTTTAGGTCTTTGTGGTATAGTGAATATCCTTTGATTTTAATTAGAAAATATGAGGAAAAATATGTCTTTATTGAGGTCAAACTGATGTACAATAAACTGCATATATTTAAAGTTGATGAGTTTGGACACAAAAACGGACCTGTGAAACCTTCATCACAGTGAACATGCTAAACGTATTTATCACCCCAGAAAGTTTCCTCTCTTCCTACTCCATTCTTAGACAGCCACTGATATGTTCTTATTGTGTACTAGTTACACAATATAGAGTTTTAGGTAAATGGAGTGGCGTACAAAAAGGAGTATGGCTTCTTTCAGCATAATTTTCATGTATCAACTTTTGTGTATTAATATTACATGTAGTTACATGTTGTTGCTGATTAGTAATCTATTAAATGGATATTCCAAATACCATTTTGAATGAATCTTTGCATATGGTACGAAGTAAGGGTTAAGGTTTATGTTTTTCCATACGGCTATTCATTTGTTCCAGCCAAGATTATCCTTTTCCCGTTAAATTGCCTTGACACTTTTGTTGTTAAGAAAAAAGATGATCATTATCTTTATGGATTTTGTTTCAGAACTCTCTTTTCTGTCATTGATCTCTTTATCTTTATGCCAGTACCACATTGTCTCATTTTATCCTGAGGCTTGAAATCAGGGAATACAAGTTGTCCTACCTGTTCATTTTCAAAGTTGTTTTGACTATTCCGAGTCCATTCTATTTCCATTTAAATTTTAGACTTAGATTTTCAGTGTTTCTTACAAAACGATGATTAAATTGGCATTTTTACATATTTCTGATTTTTCATTGCTAGTAGAAGTATAGCTGATTTTTATATTAACTTGTATTGTGCAACTTTACTAGATGCACTTATTTGTTCTAGTACCTTTTTCGTAGATACAGTTTTGATATCTGCAGATAAAAATTTTTTACTTTTTCCTTTCAAATCTGGGTGTGTATTTTATTTTACCTTTACTTGACTGTTGCACTGGCTAGAACCTCCAATACAATATGAATAGATGTTCTGAAAGCAGATGTTTTTGCCTTGTTCTCAATCTTAGCAGTAACGTATTCACTCTTTCATCATTAAGTATGTTTTGACTTGTAGTTATTTTGTAGATGATCTTTCTTAGCTTGAAAATGCTCCCTTTTTCTAAGTTACTGAGTTTTTATCAGAAATGGATGTTGGATTTTGTCAAATGGTTTTCTGTTTATTGAAAGGATTTTTTAAAAAAATAATTTATTAATGTGAATTACATTGATTTTCAGTTGCTGTATTCAGTGACAATTGATTTTTATTTTTAATTTTTTTAAAGTTTTAAAATTCCAGTATAATTAAGTACAGTGTTATTCAGGTGTACAATATAGTGATTCAGCAGTTCTGTACATTACTCATTGCTCATCATGATATGTGTACTCTTAATATCCTTCATGTATTTCATCCATCCTACCACACACCTCTCATTTGTTAACCACTAGTTTGTTCTCTATACTTGAGTCTCTTTTTTTGTCTTTTTTTCTTTGTTTTGTTTCTTAAATCCATGTAAGAGTGAATCATATGGTATTTGTCTTTCTCTGGCTTATTTCACTTAGCGTTATATTCTGTAGATCCATCCATGTCATTGCAAAATGGCAAGATTTCATTCTTTTTTATGGATAATACTACATTGTTTATATATACCACATCTTCTTTGTCCATTCATCTATTGGTGGACATTTGGGTTGCCTCCATAATTTGGCTATTGTAAATAATGCTGCAATAAACATTAGTGTTTTCATATTCTTTGGGTAAATACCCAGTAGTGCATTTACTGGATCATACAGTAATTCTGCTTTTAATTTTTTGAGGAACCTCCACACTGTTTTCTGCAGTGGCTGCACCAGTTTGCATTCCCATAAATAGTGCATGAAGGTTTCTTTTTCTCCACATCCTCGCCAGCACTTGTTGTTTTCTGTGTTTCTGATTTTGGATGTCCTGACAGGTGTCAGGCAATATCTCAGTGGTTTTGATTTGCATTTCCCTGATGATTAGTGATGTTGAGCATCTTTTCATGTGTCTGTTGGTCATCTGTATGTCCTTTTCGTAATTTGTTCGTCTCTTCAGCCTACTTTTTCATTGGATTATTTTTTTTTTCTGGTGTTAATATGTATAAGTTCTTTGTATATTTTAGATACTAACCCCTTACTGGATATGTCATTTGCAAATATCTTCTCCCATTCAGTAGGTTTTTTAGTTTTGTTGACTATTTTCTTTGCCGTAGAGAAGCTTTTTTACTTGCTGTAGTCTCACTAGTTTAGTTTTGCTTTTGTTTCCCTTGCCTTAGGAAACATATCTTGAAAATTGTTCCTACTGCCAGTGTCAGAGAAATAACTGCCTGTGCTCTTTTCTAGGATTTTTATGGTTTCAGGTCTCACATTTAGGTACTTAATCCCTTTCGAGTTTATTTTTGTGTATGATGTAAGAAAGTGGTCACTTCCATTCTTTTTCAAGTAGCTATCCAGTTTTCCCAACATTTGTTGAAGAGATTGTCTTTTCCCCATTGCATATTCTTGCCCTCTTTGTCATAGATTAATTGACCGTATAACTGTGGGTTTATTTCTGGGCTTTCTTTTTTCTTCCGATGTGTCTTTTTCTTCCTCTCTATGTGTCTATTTTTGTGCCAGTACCATACTGTTATGGATTCTCTGGCTTTGGTATCTCTTGAAATCTGGGATTGTGATGGTTCCAGTTTTGTTCTTTGTCAAGATTGCATTGGCTATTCAGGATCTTTTTTGTTTCCATATTAATTTTAGGATTATTTGTTCCAGTTCTATGAAAAATACTGTTGCTATTTTGATACAGATTGCATTAGATCTGTAGATTGCTTTAGGTGGTATCACCATTTAACAATATTTGTTCTCCCAATTCATGAGCATGGAGTATCTTTCCATTTGTTTGTGTCAGCTTCAATTTCTTTTGTCAGTATTCTATAGTTTTCAGAACACAGGCATTTTATCTCCTTGGTTAAGTTTATCCCTAGGTATTTTACTGTTTTTAGTGCAATTAAAAATGGAATTGTTTTCTTAATTTCTCTTTCTGCTACTTTATTATTTTGTATACAAATGCAACAGATGTCTGTATATTGATTTTGTACCCTGTACTTACTGAATTCGTTTATCAATTCTAGTAGTTTTTTGATGGAGTCTTTAGGGTTTTTTATATATAGTATCATGTCATCCACAAAGAGTGAAAGTTTACTTCTTCCTTAGATTTGGATGCCTCGTATTTCTTTTTCTTGTCTGATTGCTGTGGCTGGAACTTCCAGTACTATACTGAATGAAAGTAGTGAGTATGTGCCTGATGTTGGGGAAAAGCTTTAGTTTTTCACTACTGAGATAATGTTAGCTGTGGGTTTCTCACTTATGGCTTTATTACGTTAATGTATGTTCTCTCTAAACCTATTTTGCTGAGGGTTTTTATTAGGAAGTGATGTTGTACTTCGTCAGTTGCTTTTTCTGCATATATTGAAATGATCATATGGTTTTTATCCTTTCTCTTGGTGATGTGGTATATCTCTTTGACTGACCTGTGAATATTAAACCACCTTTGCATCACAGGAATGAATCCCCCTTGATCATGGTGAATAATTTTGTGTGATTCATTGTTGGATTCAGTTTGCTAATATTTTGTGGAGGATTTTGTATCTATGTTCTTCAGAGATATTGGCCTATAATTCTCTTTTTTCTAGTGTCTTCATCTGGTTTTGATATCAGGGTAATGCTGGCCTAATTGAATGAATTTGGAAGCTTACCTTCCTCTTTTATTTTTAAAATAGTTCAAGGAAAATTGGTATTAACTCTTCTTTAAATGTTTGGTAAAATTTACCTGTGAAACAGTTTGATCCTGGACTTGTGTTTGTTAGGATGTGTTTAATTACTGGTTCAGTTTCATCAATGGTAATCAATCTGTTCAAAGTTTCAATTTCTTTCTGCTTCAGTTTTGGTAGGTTATGTTTCTAGGAATGTGTGCACTTTTTCTAGGTTGTCCGGTTTGTTGACATATAACATTTCATAATATTCTCTTGTAATCTTTTGTATTTCTGAAGTGTTGGTCATTATTTCTCCTCTTTCATTTCAGATTTCGTTCATATGGGAGTCCTCTATCTCTCTCCTTTAATAAGTCTGGCTAATGGTTGATCAATTTTGTTGATATTTTCAAAGAGCCAGCTTTTGATTTCACTGATCTATTTTTTTAAATTTCCGTTTTGTTTCTTCTCTTAATCTTTATTCTTTCCTTTCTTCACTGGTTTTGGTTTTTGTCCATTTTCTAGCTCTTTTAGATGTAAGTTTATGGGTTTTTTTGTTTGGTTGTTTTTTTTAAAACATTTTTTTTAAGATTTTATTTATTAGAGAGAGAGAGCACACAAGCAAGGGGGAGGGGCAGAGGGAGAGGGAGAACAGACTCCCCACTGAGCAGGGAGCCTGATGTGGGACTTGATCCCAGGACCCTGGGATCATGACCTGAGCCAAAGGCAGATGCTTAACCAACTGAGCCACCCAGGTGCCCAGGTTATGTTTTTTATTTGAGATTTTTCTTGCTTCTTGAGGTAGGCCTGTATTACTGTAAGCTTCCCTCTTAGAACAGCTTTTGCTGCATCCCAAAGATTTTGGACCTTTGTGTTTTCATTTTCACTTGTCTCCATGCAGTTTTTGATTTCTTCTTTGATTTCTTGGTTGACCAATTCATAGTTTATAGTAGCATGTTATTTAACCTCCATGTATTGGTGTTCTTTCCAGATTTTTTTCTTGTGGTTGATCAGTTTCATGTTACTGTGGTCAGAAAAGATGCTTGGTATGACTTCAGTATTTGGATTTATTGAGACTTGTTTTGTGGCAAAATGTGACCTATTCTGGAGAATGTTTCATGTGCACTTGAAAAGAATGTGTATTCTGCTGTTCTATGATGGTATGTTCTGAATATATGTTAGATCTATCTGTTCCAGTGTGTCTTTCAAAGCTACTGTTTTCTTGTTGACTTTCTGTTTGGATGATATATCCATTGATGTAAGTGGGGTGTTAAGGTCCCCAAGTATTGTTGTATAACGATCAATTACTTACTGTATATTTCTTAATAGCTGCTTTATGTATTTGGGTGCATGTTGGGTGCATAACTATCTACAATTGTTAAATCTTATTGTTGGCTTTTTCCCTTTATGATTATGTAGTGTCCTTCTTTGTCCCTTGTTACAGTCTTTGTTTTAAAGTCTATATGTCTGGGGCGCCTGGGTGGCTCAGTTGGTTAAGCGACTGCCTTCGGCTCAGGTCATGATCCTGGAGTCCCTGGATCGAGTCCCGCATCGGGCTCCCTGCTCGGCAGGGAGTCTGCTTCTCCCTCTGACCCTCCCCCCTCTCATGTGCTGTCTCTCTCTCTCTCATTCTCTCTGTCTCAAATAAATAAATAAAATCTTTAAAAAAAAAAAAAAAGTCTATATGTCTGACACAAATGTTGCTACCCTGGCTTTCTTTTCACTTCCATTTGCATGATAAATGCTTTTCCATCCTTTCATTTTCATTCTGCATATGTCTTTAGGTCTGAAATGCTTCTGTTTTAGGCAGCATATGGATGGTTCTTGCTTTTTTATCCATTTTGTTGCCAAATGTCTTTTGATTGGAGCATTTAGTCCACTTACGTGCAAAGTAATTAATAGATACATATTTATCACCATTTTGTGACTTGTTTTATGGTTGTTTTTATAGTTCTTTTATATTCCTTTCTTTTGCTCTTTCACGGTTTGCTGGCTTTCTTTAATAATATACTTGGAATCCTTCTCTTTATTTTTTGCCTACCTATTACAGGTGTTTGATCTGTGGCTACCATTAGGTTTATATATAACATCTTATGCATATAACAGTCTATATTAGGTTGATGGTCTCAAGTTTGAATCCATTTTTTAACCTTTTTTAAAAGCACTAAATGTTTACTCCTCTCTTCCCCACATTTTAAGTATGTGGTGTCATACTTTATATTCTTTTACATTGTGAATCACTTGACTTATTTTTATAGATATACTTAATTTTACTGTTTTTTGTGCTTCTCTTACTCTTCCTTATGGTCTTTCCTTCGCACTGAAAGAGTCCCCTTTAACATTTCTTATAAGGTTGGGTTACTGCTGATGAATTCATTTAATTTTTGTTTGGGAAATTATCTCTCATTCTATTCTGAATGATAGTCTTGCTGGATAGAGTCTTAGTTCCAGGTTTTTTTTCTTTCAGCATTTTGAATATATCATGCCACTCTCTGTGGCCTGCAAAGTGTCTGCTGAAAAAATCAGCTGATAGCTTTATCAGATTTCCCTTGTATGTAACTGTTTTCTCTTGCTGCTTTTAAGATTTTCTCCTTATCACTCTTTTTCCCATTTAAATTACTGTGTGTCTTGGTGTGGACCTCTGTGGGTTGATTTTGTTGGGGGCTCTCTGTACCTTCTGGATCTGGATATCTGTTTCCTTCCCCAGATGCAGGAAGTTTTCAGCTGTTATTTCTTAAAATAAATTTTTGCCCCATTTTCTCTCTCTTTTCTTCTAGGATCCCTATAATGCATATGTTATTGTGCTTGACCACGTCAATGAGTTCCCTTAACCCATTCTCATTTTTCATTATTCTTTTTCTCTCTCCTGTTCAGCTTGATTGCTTTCCAGTGCTTTGTCCTCCAGATCATTGATCTGTTCTTCTGCTTCCTCTGGTCTACTGTTTATTCCCTCTAGTGTATTTTTAATTTCAGTTACTGAGTTATTTATCTCTGTTTCTTTTTAATGTTTTCTGTCAGTGTTTTTAGGGTCTGAGACCCTCCTCTCTTTCTTCAAGTCCAGTGAGTATCTTTATGACCATTACTTTAAATTCTCTATCAGCCATATTATCTTCATTTTATTTAGTGCTCTTTCCATGATTGTCATGTTCTTTCATTTGACCTATTCCTCTCTCTGCTCATTTTGTCTGATTATCTGTGTCTGTTTCTGTGTGTTAGAAAAGTCACATATGGGGCGCCTGGGTGGCTCAGATGGTTAAGCGTCTGCCTTCAGCTCAGGTCATGATCCCAGAGTCCTGGGATCGAGTCCCACATCGGGCTCCCTGCTCAGTGGGGACCTGCTTCTCCCTCTGCTTCTCTCTCTCTCTGTTTCTCATGAATAAATAAATAAAATCTTTAAAAAAAAAAAAAGTCACCTATGTCTCCTGATCTTGAAAGTAATGGCCTTATGAAGAAGAAGTCCTGTCATGTCCTGAGTGTAATATCCCCTGTTACCCAGAATGTGGCACTTCAGGGATGTATTCTATGTGTGTTATGTGTGCCCTGCTGTTGTGGCTGAGCTGCATTTGCCTTCAGTTCAGTTGTCTACAATGACTCTTTGCCTGTTGGGGGTAGGGTTTAGTTCCTGTGTTGTTAGTGGGCCACTCTGGGGCCACCTTGAAGTTGAGTTCGTTCAGGCCAGGCTTTTGCCAGAGGTGTAGTCGCACCAAACTGTAGGGTATCTCCCTGTTTTGTCCCCCAAGAAGCTTTTGTTGGTGGGCAGGACCCACATTCAGATTAGTTGTCTTCCCCCAGTTCACTGCCGAGGCTATAGTTGAACTGGTGTGTGTGGTTATTTCCCCTCTCCCGGTCACTCCAGTCACTTTGAAGTGATGCTGGCTCCTGTAGGGTCTTCTTGCACACTGCGAGGATAGTGACACCATTTTGAATGGACTCCTGTTGCCAGAGAACATGGAAGTGGGTACATGGTGATAAGGTTTGCTCAGGGCTGCTGTGGGAGGAGACCTGAGCTGCTCTGGAGAACTCCTGTTGAGAACAGGTTGGTCGTCAGTCTTTACTGAGCCTTTGATAGTTTACTCATGTGCATATTGCATTCAGTACCAATGTGAAATTTTGACAACAGGGGATGCTCTTAAATCTGCAACTCTTGCCTCTCCATGTACCCCACTCAGTGTGCTGTGAGTTTGAGAAACACTGGCTTCCCCAAATTCTCATATCTGTCTCTTTGACTCCAGCAGACTGGGCTCTGTTTGACTTCTCTTTTTAACCTACACAGTAATCTAGAAACTTGAGGCAGCAAGCTGGGGCAATCTGAGGACTTACCTTTGTGGTTTCTTTTTACTGTTTTTTCTTTTCCTGTGCTGCATGCTGCCCAATTTCTGAATACCATTGTTTAATATGGGTTCTTTTTCCTCTGTGTTTTAGTTCTCTATGTTGGGAAGGTTTATCTGGTCTCTATTATTCCATCATGGCTAAAAGCAGAAATTCTTCCCTTTCATTTTTGATCTGTAGTTAACTGTTTTAAAAGATGACTGTTGGGCTACTTTCTCTATTGTTGATTTTTTTTTTTTTTATGTTTTAAATAGTTATACATTAATTTATATTTCTTATAGGTACTATTTATAGAAACTTAAATGTATTCCTATTGCTTCAAATAGAGCAAACAATTTATCTAGAGATAGAGTGTAGTTAGGATTATCCATTTATCAGTTCTTAGTTCTCAGCATGTTTTCCATTTTGGTATGATTTTTTAAAAAAAAGATTTTACTAAGAGAAAGATTATAATATGAAAGTGGTTTTATTAACCAATTTGTTATTGTCCATCTCAAAGGTAAATATAAGTGTTTGGAAGTTTAATATATATTAATCAAAGTGATGTTACCGTTTACATCATTTTTGTATGCTGCTCATGGATGGATGAAATACTCTCCAAAGTGCATGTAGAGTATCTCATCCCATGAGCAGCATACAACAGTGAAGTAAAGAGGCACTCATTTCCCAGCCTGTGACCTTTTTTTCAAAACACTCTTGTCATACAGACATTTCAAATTTTGATATTTTTTTTCCCATGAATTCTTCTGTTTTTGTCTGAAGAAGTTAATACTTATACCAAGGTCAAGAACATATCATCTTACTTCCTTCTTGGATTTTTAAAGTTTTTGTTTTTGACACATCTTTTCTATAAAACTAGTGACCTTCTGTGTATTTTTTAGGATAAATAATAGTGTGTTTGCAATGGAATATTATGCAGCCATAAAAAGGAATGAGATCTTGCCATTTGCAATGACGTGGATGGAACTGGAGGGTGTTATGCTGAGTGAAATAAGTCAATCAGAGAAAGACATGTATCATATGACCTCACTGATATGAGGAATTCTTAATCTCAAGAAACAAACTGAGTGTTGCTGGAGTGGTGGGGGGTGGGAGGGATGGGGTGGCTGGGTGATAGTGAGTAGGGTGTGTGCTATGGTGAGCGCTGTGAATTGTGCAAGACTGTTGAATCACAGATCTGTCCTTCTGAAACAATGCAACATATGTTAAGAAAAAAGAAAAAAGATAGCAGGAGGGGAAGAATGAAGGGGAGTAAGTCAGAGGGGGAGACGAACCATGAGAGACGATGGACTCTGAAAAACAAACTGAGGGTTCTAGAGGGGAGGAGGGTGGGGGGATGGGTTAGCCTGGTGATGGGTATTAAAGAGGGCACATTCTGCGTGGAGCACTGGGTGTTATGCACAAACAATGAATCGTGGAACACTACATCAAAAACTAATGATGTAATGTATGGTGATTAACATAACAATAAAAAAATAATAGTGTGTTTGTTTCTTTTCTAACTTATATAAGCAAGATAAATATTGCCTGCTAGTTTCTTTGTTGCGATATTTTGATGAGATTTTTAAAAAATGTCTTTAGATTCTTAGATTAATGTGCTAAATATAATTTGTTTCTTTTTCTCAGATTAAAAATCATTTTTCAATCCCACTTTGTGTTTATGAAGGGAACACTTTATTGGGAACGGCTTCACCTGGAAGTGAATTCAACATACCATTAACATCTTACCGGTGATTTTTTTTTCCTTTATCTTTTTATTTGCTCTGAAGTATCTTATAGAATTTTTAGTTTCTGATTTTGTAGGGATATCTGTCTTTAAGTGATCAAAGTTTAATCACTTGTTAATAACTTGTCTAACTTATTTAAGTTTCAAGGTGCTTAAAAGGTTTTTTTTGTTTTTATTAAAAGAAATATTTAATTTATACTATATAAATTACTTATGCTTTTACTAGTAAATACAGTTATTACATGCTTAAGTATAGCTGCCATAACTATAATCATTTATATGTGATTTTTTAGAAAATGTTGAATTGAGCATGATCGGTAGCTTCTGGATTTATATACAACTATTATGAAGTGATTTTTACTTTTCAAATGTTTTACAATGGAATTTTTTAAAAATCCCTTTGGAAAGCATAATATTTTATCTTTTTATCTACATATTAATTGTTCAGTGATGGAATTATACTCTAAATTGTGACATATAGTACATCAATCTTAAATACTAAAAATTAGATTAAACTTGATATAAAATCTTATATGTAAAATTCTTACAAAATGCTAGTGATGGGGCTAGTCTTAAAATTATAGGATTAATTATCATAACAAACAAGTATTCTGGCTATTTAATCAGGAATTGAAAATAATCTCTTTCAGGGATAGTGAACTGTTTTGGAAAATCTATCTTCCTGAGAATAAGCACTGTAGTTTGTCTAAGTACCATTTCAGAACACACACTAGCCCTGGGCCCAGACCTGTGCTGCAGAAGGATGGAGGCAGAACTGCAAGCTGTGCTGAAATATCCTCTGCCTCTCTTCTGATCCATGCCCAGAGTTCCAGATTGGCTCCCTGATGCTTACAGAGCAGTCTAGCAGTTACAGGCACATATTTTCAGTTAGTAGACCTGCTAATTCTAAAGAGTACTTTATTACTTACACCTTGTAACCCTGAGTGTTTTATTGCTTAGTTCAAATTTGCTGAGGGAAAGAATTCTATTGTTGCGAGAACAACAATGTAGTTGTTCACAATATCTGACCTTATTCTAGGAAGGATTTTTGGTGGGTTACAAGACTAAAAATAGCATGTAGGATATGTTTAAAAACTTCTGTGAAGAAGTTTAAATTATTTCATCCTTGAATGAGAAAAGTTAATGGCATTTTGCTTTATTTTTAATAAATTATTGCTCTATGTTTTGTGACTCTGTCCATAGAAGAGAAAACTTAAGAGTATTGTTCAAGGCTAAGTATTAATTTGTCAAATGGAAATTGATTAATCTTAATTGGAATTATTAGTGATGAGCCAGCTTGTATTTCACATTAGATATGTTTCTAATCCAATTCTTAGATATAAATATGCTTACATTTAAGATATGAGGTCTTAAATTAAGAAATGGCTACCTTTCCCTGGAGAATTTAAATATATTGATCTTTAAATTTAATTCATTTAACAAATATTTGTCAGGAGTTCTGCTGTGTATAAGACACTACTGTGAGATGCCAAGATGAATTGGGCATGGCTGGAACCTTTGAGAGATTGATACATTATGTAAATATAGAAGAAAGAACACAGTGGGGTTGTAGGGAGAGGGAGTTACAGAAGAGGTAGAGTGGCAGAAAACCACAGAAAACAAAGCAGGTGTTAATGATTGACTCCTGGGCGAGACACATGAATTAAAGGTCAAACATAATAATGTACGGATTAGCAGGGAAGGGCAATCTTAAGTGGAAGGAATTGCATGAACAAAGGTAAGGAGACCTGAAAGCACAGGGTTTGTATGTGTCTATAAAGAATAATTGCAGGATGATCATAGTGTAGTGTACATCTTGTAATAGAACATTTGAAACATAGTTTAAGTTCACATTAAGGTACTTGCTCTCTCATTTTCTTGCCCCCATTTATGTTAATTTTATGTTTATCTTGAATATCATCTTTTTCTTCTTTCTTCTCACAGAACGTTTGGTGTCCTTCTCTTTCAAGATCTTTCATTCTAAAAACTCTTCTCATTCAGAACCTCTTGCCATTGATACCTTTCTCACGTTTTCTTCCTATTCATTTCTTAAACTTTCCTTTAACCTCGCATATTTCTCGAATTCAGGTGTTCTCTTCAGAATAAAGCTTTTTGGCAAAATTGTCACCTCTACAAAAAGCTCTGCAGCCATCTAGAAAGACTTAACCACACTCTCTTGCCCTCAGTCTGCTGTGTACATGTTTTTTTGTACCTATCACAATGCACTAGTTCTCTTTTAACATTACATCCCCACCTGATTGGGATCTGTAATACAGAGTAAAGAAAGACTTACTCGGGCGCCTGGGTGGCTGAGTTGGTTAAGCGACTGCCTTCAGCTCAGGTCATGATCCTGGAGTCCTGGGATCGAGTCCCACATCGGGCTCCCTGCTCAGCGGGGAGTCTGCTTCTCCCTCTGACCCTCCCCCTTCTCATTCTCTCTCTCAAATAAATAAATAAAATCTTAAAAAAAAAAAAAAAGACTTACTCATTTGTTCATTTCCAGTTTTACCTTCTCGTTGGTAAATAATAGGTCCAGTAAAGGTTTTGATAATCTGGATGAGTTTATTGGCATTAGTTTAATTTTGGGAAAATTAAGTTTTTAAGTATTAGAAGAATGGAAAAGAGAATGAAAATTACAGAGAGAATGTAAAAATTGATTAAATCTGATAACTGATTTGACAGATGATTAGATTTATGTATATGTCAAGGGAGATGGAAAAGTCAAATATTCTTTCATAGTCCAGAGTGCTGGTAGTTGGAAATTCCTGAAAAGGGACACACAGAGAAACGGGTATGGACTGTTTAGAGTTCAATCTAGCAGATTTAAGTCACTGTCAGACATCATTATAGAAGTGTGTAGTGGATATTTAAAATTTTAGGACTAGGGCTTAGGACAAGATCTGGGCTGGAGATAGTATGGACAGTTGTTCATTTGTAAGGGATAGTGTCACAATCATAGATGATTGGTTTTACAAGTATAAAAATATTTAAGTGCTTATATTTGGACAGGTTAGGTTTGAAAAATGATTAAACCTAAAATATTGAAATGTCAACAAAGAGTGTGATATTTAAATAATAAGAATCATACATGATTTTATCACTATCTTGCAACCACCTCTGCAACTGTGCCCAGTGTTTCAGCAATTAAATATCTATTGAAAGCTTTTGTTTAACATTGAAAAGCTGGTGAGATTTTTTTTAATGGAAATGTGTTTTTAGTTTATGAATTCAGTCATGACATGTACTTCTTATAAGGACCACATATTCAGGAAAGCCAACATTTTTAAGTTAAATGTGCAAATCAACATATTTGTATATGTTTGCTTTGTATATATGATCCATAAAATTATATATTTTCTGTAGGAAACCAGTTATTATCTTGTAAACCTTTAAGATAGTAAGTTTGTAAGAAAAATATTCTTTTAAGAGCCAAATAACTAGGGCTGCCTGGGTGTCTTAGTCATTGAGTATCTGCCTTTGGCTCAGGTCATGATCCCGGGGTCCTGGGATCGAGCCCCGCGTCGGGCTCCCTGCTCGGCGGGAGGCCTGCTTCTCCCTCTCTCACTCCCCCTGCTTGTGTTCCCTTTCTTGCTGTCTCTCTCGGTCAAATAAATAAATAAAACCTTTAAAAAAAAAAAAAGCCAAATAACTTGATTAGTTTCCAGTAAGTTAGGGTATGACAATATGTTTACCAGTCTATCTCTATCTCTATCTCTTAAGAAGAATGTGAAACTATAAAAAATTTATTACAAGAGCAGGGAGTGATGTAATTTCATTGTTCCAAAGTAGTAATCACCTAATTAATGTTTTCTTTTAAAGCATTTTCTTTAAAGCATATTGTTTCATCCTTTACACAGATCACCCCTTTCTCTGAAGCCAGAAGATGAGGACTATCAAACATGTGAAAGAATTGACTTTGAAGAAATTATAAAAAATGATGGCACTTTTCTAAAGAAGAAATGTAGATCTAAAAACACTGCTAAGAAACCATTTATCATTCATGTTGTACCGGAAAAAGATAATTTGGCTTCTCTGTCAGTGTATTCAGAAGATGGTTGGGACTTACCATACATAATGCATTTGTGGCCACCTATCCTGCTCCGAAATCTTCTTCCTTATAAAATTGCTTATTATATAGAGGTATTATAGAATTTTTAAAATGCCTTCCTGTCTTCGATTTTGTAGCTTTGGTTATTTAAAATAGCAAGCAATAAAACAATGTTTTAATGTTCTCATAAAAATGATAGTACTGGTGAATGGGTCGTCCAGATGTTTTTCACATGGAAAAAAAAAAGTTTCCATCCTTATAAAAAGATTTTTTAAAAATATATTTTTTTCACTGATTTACCATAGAAATCTGGCTACTAAATGGAATATAAATTACATGCACAAAGGGAGTATGCCATCTTTTAAATCATTTATGAAAATGACATATATTTCTATGGGAAAATTTAGAAAATAGAACTAATAAAAATTGTCTATAATTACGTCATCTGAAAGTTGCATGTTCAGATGAAGATAGCATCTCAGGTTTAGAATACAGGCATACCTCACTTCATCACACTTCTCAGAGACTCTGTGTTTTACAAATTCAAGATTTGTGGCAACCCTGTGTCAGGCAAGTCTGGCAGCACCGTTTTTCCAACAGTATTTGCTCACTTCGTGTTTTTGTGTCATATTTTGGTAATTCTCACAATATTTCAAACATTTTATTCTTAATTGTTGTGATCTGGGATCAGTGATTATGACTTGCTAAAATCTCAGATGATGGTTAACATTAGCAATAAAGTATTAAGGTGTATACATTGATTTCTAGACATAATGCTATTGCATACTTAACTAGACTACAGTGTAGTGTAAATGTGACTTTTATATGCATTGGGAAACCAAGAAATTTATTTGACTTGCTTTATTGTGATACTTGGTTTATCATTGTGGTCTGGAACTGAACCCTCAGTATCTCTGAGGTATGCCTGTATATATTTTTAAAAAATCTTTTCTGTGCATTTACATCTCATTTATTATATATTTAAAAGATGGACACTAACTTTTGAAACATGTATGAGAATTAGTCTTAATATTCAAATACTATGCGTAAATAGAAAAAACACCCTACATTATATTATTCTCATGCTAGTTTTCGAAAAAGGATTTTAATTCCCTATGAAGATGTTTTTTCTTTTACGTACTCTTTGTTTTAACAGATTACATCTCCTTCCTTCCTTTTGTTATAACAGGGATAAGTAGATGTTCCATTTGCCATGCTTATCAAATATAAGAGTAGTTCTTTACTGTAGCCTATTAATAGTTTTTATTGTCTGTTAATAATAGGGATTTACTATGTGTTTATACTTGTCTGATAAATTGGGGGGACAGTTAACATATCTGTGGTTTAAGGTTATCAATTTTCCATATGGTTGGCAGATACCATAGCGGTTAACAATTTGTACTTTGCTATCAGATAGATCTGAGATTGAATCCTAGCTCTATCATTTATTAGCTTTATGTCTTTAAGCAGTTTTTATTATCTTTTTAAATCATTTGTCCTAGTCTATAAAATAGGAATAGTAATAAAACTTGCATGATAGGGATATGGGGAAAATCAAATTAGATAATACATGTAAAGGACTTCGCATAGTGCCTCCCAGGCACATGGTTGCCAATTATTTCCCCTCTCACATCAGCACCAACCACTACTATTCTTACCTTGTGAAATATTAATTAACATGTCAAGCATCAATAATTTATATAATTTTTGCTTTAAGTAATTTAAAATCTTGAGATTCCCGTGTTCTAACAACAGGAAGGAATCAGAGATGATGGAAAGACTGGTGATGTACTACCTATCTATGGCCCATTCTTATTGAACTTTTAATTGGATACTTTCAGAGATCACGTTTTGTTGGCTAGTTTCCAAAGGATATAAGTTTTTAGGAAGACAGTTTAGCCGTGGTATGGAGAGAGGATTATAAGGGACAAAGAACAGTTAGGAGTTTCTTAAAGTGAGAGGTCACAGTGACATGAACTAATAAGGGTACAGTTTTGAGACATACGAAAGATGCAGTATAGACAGTGATTGAAAGTGGATGATGAAGGATTGTTAAGCAAGAAAGGGAATTAGGGATTGCTTATTTTGGATTACTGTCATTTTTTTCATTTTTCATTTTGTAGTTTTCAAAACTAAAATCACTAATGGATAACATTTTTTTTAATGTTTTACTAATTACAGTGTTTTATAATGTTGATTAGTTCCAGCATAGTTTTACTTGTATTATTTAATTTTATCCTCCCAGCAGTCCTTTGAAGTAGATCATTTAGACCATTTTATAAATATGATAATTCAAATCTCAATTTATAGAAGTTTACACAGTTGGCAGAGTTAGAACTCAAATATAGGTCTTCTATCTTGTTCTGACAGAGGTGTTTCAAAAGCCTTATGTGTTTGACATTTGGAATCATTATAAATAGAATTTTTAGCATATTATTATGACATGTTTAAAATTTTACTGTATTTTTTTATTACAGGGGATTGAACATAAAGTTTATACTCTAAATGAAGGACATTCAGCCCACATTTGTACTGTGCATTTGGAAAAAGCCAGACTACATTTAAAATTACTTGACTATCTTAATCATGATTGGAAAAGTGAATATCATATAAAACCTAATCAGCAAGATATTAGTTTCATCAATTTTACCTGTGTTACAGAAATAGAAAAGACTGATTTAGATATTGCTATCCACGTGACTTATAATATTGGCCAGACAGTTGTGGCATTTCATAGTCCTTATTGGATGGTCAATAAAACCAGTCGAATGTTACAGTATAAAGCAGATGGAATTCATCGAAAGCATCCACCTAATTATAAAAAGCCAGTTCTGTTTTCTTTTCAACCAAAGCACTTTTTTAATAATAATAAGGTATGTAAGTTTTTTAAAACTTTCATTCTCCTTTAGCTACTTTTCACTCCTTTTAGTTTTTAGAGTTTTGAAGAATGTTATGAAACAAGTAGAAAAAACATTTAAATATTTGAGGTTAAAAAGATTAGAATTTAGTATGGGAAGATGTTTACTGCATTAATATAATACTTATACAAAACAAAAAATTTATCAATTGAGGTAGGAATTTTTAAAGGTACCTAAATTGTAATGTATTTGGAATATTTTTTCCTAGGTTCAGCTTATGGTAACTGATAGTGAATTGTCGGATCAGTTTTCAATTGATACTGTTGGTAGTCATGGAGCTGTTAAATGTAAAGGCCTGCAAATGGACTATCAAGTGAGTTCATTCTTTGCTCATGGAGAAACTTCTATTTTAAACTGTGTGTACTGACTACTTAATTTTTTATAAGGATATTGTGATAATGTAACAGTTTTTGAAATGCTAATTTTTTCCCTTCAGGTTGGTGTCACTATAGACCTCAGCAGTTTTAATATTACCAGAATTGTGACATTTACTCCTTTTTATATGATCGAAAACAAAAGCAAATATCATATATCAGTGGCTGAACACGGAAATGATAAATGGCTCTCTCTTGATTTGGAGCAGGTGGGTAGATGTATTTCAAAAATGTTCTTCTTTGGATTTTCATTTTTCCTTGAAGTTACATACCTGAAACCACTATGTAAGTTTTTAATTGCCCCCCCACCCTGTTTTATTTGTACCAGGCTCTAGATTTTAATTTATAAAAACCAGACCTTGTGATTTAGGAATGCATTGCTTGATAAGGGAAGTAGATATTTAACAACTACTAACCAGCAGTGTAAATACAGCAGTAGAAGACTAGATGAGGTATAAATGCAGTAAAGAGTAGGAAATGATTTACTCTCTGCAAAGCTGTTAGGAATGCCTTTGTGGAAGAAGTTAGGGGGTTATTTTAAGAAGATGGTAGTGACTTAGGAATGAAATTTTGATTCTACTCCATCTTTAGCTATTAGACCTTTGGGTAAGAGCTTTCTAAAGGACTGCCTGAGGTTGATGGAGTATTTTACTTTTGAAGAAATTTTATTCTAAATAACATGTTAAGATTATAAGAGAAGTGTTTGCTGTTTTTGATCACTGTTCCTTCTTGCTTTTAAACCATCCTGCTGGGATTATTATTCTTGACATTCTTTAGATTTTCCTTCATTTCAGAGCTCGTTTTGGAGGCAAAAGCCATCAGTTTCTGTTTATCCATAAAAGTTTTTGTCATCTTTCCTTTATGATAATTTCCCTTATCTGTTCTGTTTTTTCCTCAACATGTGTGGATTTTACTCCACTATTTTCTGGTGTCTACTTTAGTTGAAAATTCTCCTGTGATTCTGTCATTCCTTTAGAGGTCATTTTCTTCCTAATTGCCTTCATGATCTTTGTCTTTGATGTTCTGTAGTCATACTACTATTTGTCCACGTGTGGGTTCTTTTTGTGTATCCTTCTTGAGACGCTATACTCTGAGATTTGTGGATCAATCTTTCATACTTGCTGTATAATTTGCCACTGTTGTCTCCTTAATATTGTCTCTCCTTCGTCCTTCCATTTGCTTCTTCTTGGCCTTTAATCAGACACATTTTAGACCTCCATATTCTATCTTCCATGTCTCTTAACTTTTTTTTTTTTTTTAGTATTTTCCATCTATATAGTTCTCTTTGCTGCATTCTGGATAAATTCTACATGTATATTTTAGTAAATTTTCACTTTTACTCTGTCTAAATTGCTATTTAAGCCTTTAGTGAGTTTTTTATTTGAATATATTTCTTATTTTCAGAAGTTCCACCTTTTTTGAAGTCTGCCTGTTTATTCATTAATGAATATTTGTATGTATTCCTTAGGTGCCTTGTGATACATCTGTTAGGAGAACCACAAGTCCCTGTGTTTCTGTAGTTTATGTTTCATTGGGGTAGAGGTTGTGGAAACAATAATATCATAATCAATTAAAATATATATGTTTAAAGGTGAAAAATTTAATCAGGGAAATGCAAATAAGACAGGTATGAATATTAAGAGTTCTAGCAAGCACAGGGTGGGCTATAATTTTATATAAGGTGGTCAAGGATAGGACTCACTGAAGTCATATTTGAGCAGACTTGTAGGAGATGTGGGAGGTAGCAGTTGCCAAGAGCTCAGCTGACCTGCCGTGTGTTAGAGTAGCTGATTAGGACAACAACTCAAAATGAAAGTAACAGTTAACCTTTAGTCACTTACTGCCATAGGATAAGCAAGAGGCTAAACTGGAGAACGCACCAAACTCTCCCCACCCCATTCCACTTTGCCTATGGAAGAGCACTGGTCAGGGGTCAGGTGGATCAGCACAGACTTGGGAGTTGTGTCACTGTCAAGGGAGCCTTGAGCAAAAGGCTCTTCCAGTTTGGACCTAGGAGGTGAACAATGACAAGGGGGAAGAGCTAGGAGTAGAAAAGTACTGAACACTGAGAGGAGAGAAAAAGCATCTTCAAGGTTCTCCCTATCTCCTTTTAAAGAGGTCTTGCAGGGAGGTTCCTCAAAGAGGCCTCTGCCATGGGCCATGATAGGCCTCTGAATGAAGGTACCTCAGTAGGAATTCAGATATGTGTAAATGCATGGCTGGAAGTGAGGGTTGGGTCCTTGAGACCGCTGAACACTGTGCACCTAGTCTGCTGTGAGGAGGGGCAGCTTAGCCCTGTGAGGCCTGCCAGATAAGGCCTTTGTAATTGCCTATGGTGTGATGTGAAAAAAAAAAACACACGTAGGTTTTTAGCCAGGGGCTAGAATCCTCAGCCATGTGGACATCTGGGGAAAAAGAGCATTAGAGACAGAAGGATCAGCCAGGGTAGATGCCCTGAAGTGGAAGGACTTCTGGCATGTTTATGGGATAGCAAAAGAGGCCAATATTACTGGAGAGGGGAAAGTAGTGGAGAACAAAGCCTAACAGTGATGAAGAGTAATCATGCAGAACTTTGGGAGCCATTGCAAAGATTCTAGCTTTTGCTCTGCATGAAGTGAAGAGCTGTTAGATGGTTTTGAACAGTGATTAGCAGGTTCTCAATAAATATTCGTTGAATGAATATATACTTTATTTTTGCAAGTGTTCCACGTGTGCTCATTAAGTCAAGGGTTCTTGGTTTGTTGGATGTAGAACACTCTGTGTCCAAATGCTAAGACTACCAACTCCAGCTTTGTTTTGCTTTAGCTATTTTCTAGGTGTATATTCTTCCATACTTAGAGTAGCTCTGTGTCTTGATTTGTATGTCATTGCAGATAACATTGTTAGGCCTTAGCTTTTTAAAAATCTAACATACAGCCTCTGTCTTTGAACAGTTTATGTTTACATAAAGTACAATTACAACTGCCTAACAACTTATTTTTTAATTTACTTTCTGTGTTTCTTTTTTTTTTTCAATTTCAGCTTTTCTTAGGATAAATTTTCTTGTGCTAGTTTACAATTTTTACATTTCAGTTTGGCTTATAGTGGTCAACCTTGAGATGTTTAGTCGTGATTATTGCCTGTGTTGATTTGTTAAACTTGTTTAGATCTCTGTTTTCCCACAACAAAAGACAAGTATATTAGCACTTTCTCTAGTGGCAAGATTTTGAGCGCATAACTCTTTAAAACAATGCAGTGTATATTACTAAACATAGCATACATCTTTAAACCGGCTACCAGGGAGTAGCAGGCTTGGGAATATCCAGAAAGCACATCATTTTTAGTCTTCTCAGTTCCTCATGGGAAGTATGCTTCAGTTAGTATTGCTGCTCCGTTGACTCTCCCACGTAAGTTCCTGCTAGGTTGCAGGAAGCCCTGAGTGGGAGCCTTCTAAACTTCTTACAGCCTTAAACGTGTCTCATGTCTAGTTCCATTAGTTACTTCTTAAGGTTGAATAAGGCTGGCTTTAACAAGCTAGGGCATTTGACTTTAACATCCAGGTTCCTCCTCCATTGCTCCAGGTCATGTCATGATGATGGGTATCACACATGAACAGTTGCAGTGAAGTATGTGAAGTCATTGGTCTGGTTTGGGCCTATCACAGTAAGACAGGGTGTACAGAATAGTTTACAGACCACACTGCTTCTCCTTTTCTCTTTTCTTAGCTCTTTGTTTCTGCTCCTGTTGTCTGGACTTCTAGAACTCTCTTAGTGTGTTGACTGTCTCATGTTTTACTAGTTTGGTTTCCAGATCACTGACATCCGTGTTGTTCCTTAAGGTTCTGAGCCTATTTCCTACTCTGAACTTTAGATACTTCTTTTACTTTTCTTTTTTTTCCCTTTATTGGACTTCCAGGACTCTGGATTAATGCATGACCTGATTCAACATTTGCGTGTACTTTGGCTATTGTTTAGTTACCAAATGTTACCCACAACCTGATTATGATTTTTAGAAACTGAACGTACCCTTGTTTTAAACTGATCACTTGCTTCTCGGCTCAGCTTTTACATGCTGATTTTTCAGCCCTCCTCTAGATCTCTGGACCATGTTGAAATCTCTTTGCCAGCACTCCACTTACCACAGCTCCTCAACTTCCCATCCGGCAGTGCCCACAGAGGGTGACCCACCTCTAAGTTGGCCGTTCATAGCTGTCTAGCCAAGCAACCCAATAACTAGAGCAGTGTTGAAAGACATTTATTTTAAGTCTATCCTGATGGGTTTATTAACATGATAAAATTTTGATGATGAAATTTTTTGTAAAACAATATATGTAATATATGTTTTAGTGTATCCCCTTTTGGCCTGAGGATGCTTCTAATGCACTTCTTATTCAAGTTGAAAGAAATCAAGGCCCTCCCAAAAAGATACATTTTAACAAGCAAGCAAATTGTATTTTATTGCGTCTGGACAATGAGGTGGGTGATTTGTGTGTGTGTATGATTAGAGAAGCTATTATATACTTATTCATAATTTTATTTGTAGCTTTGATTTTTTTCCCTTTTCCCAAAACGGAACAAACATTTCTTTTTGTAAAGGGGAAAAGCACTAAAAAGAAACGGAGACATAAAATAATTTAATTGTTAAACAGAATGTTAGAGTGCCTAGAATACTAGAACATCTGGAATTTGACCCATCTGTATACACTAATTGAGATTCATGGTTTCCCAGATATGCAGAAGATCCTGACTTGCTTTCTTAATCATCAAAAAATGTATTAAATTATGAATAGTCTTATTAAACGTTATTAGTTAATATTCTTTGGAAAATGATCATGTAAGAGAATATTTTTCTTTTTCTTTTTTTCCCTAGCTTGGAGGTATTATAGCAGAAGTTAATTTGGCTGAGCATTCTACAGTTATTACATTTTCAGATTATCATGATGGAGCAGCTCCATTCCTATTAATAAATCACACCAAGAGTGACATTGTTCAGTACAATCAAAGGTAAGAAGATTATCACACATACCATATCCCCCTGATTTTAGCAGAGTCTAGGTAATGGGACATTGACTTTATGATGACTTCTTAAGAATATAACACTGATGGGGTGCCTGGGTGGCTCAGTCGGTTAAGCATCTGACTTAGACTCAGGTCATGATCTCAGGATCCTGGGATTCAGCCCCATGTCTGGCTCTGTACTCAGCAGGGAGCATCTGTCTCCCTCTGCTCCTCCTCACTCACACACACAAGCGAGTGTGCTCTCTCTCTCTCAAATAAAT